ACACACACACACACACACACTTATATATATAAATATATATATACACACACACACACAGTATATTTAAGTTTTGACAGTTTACTGTTCAGTTTTGATGCTGACTTCTGTTTATGGACTTACGTTGCATTCAAAGACATTGGAAAATACAAAATTACTTGATGGAGAAAAAAAATAATGATAATATGATAATAACAGAATTTTCTTGTCAATATACATCACACAAAACTGTATAAAGCATTACCCGCTCATTTCTAGTTTAAGTTTACTTTAGGTGATCTACATACAGCTGCAGATGAAAATTCGTTAACTAAATAAAATGAAGAAGCAACGAATGTGACTTCTCGCTTTCCAGATACAGTGAGCAGCTCTTCTGCTGTTTCATATCCTGTTTTTTCTTCTGACGTTTTGATTTTTTCCCCCTTTTTAAATATACCTTCACCATGAATTTTTAGTTTGACACTTGTGAGTGTTTCTCCACACCACCGTGTCATTTTACGATTTAAGCGTTCTACTTGTAGAACCACACTGTTGTGTTGAAACCACTGTTCTGCTATTCTCCACCAAATACTCACATTTTCTACTTTATCTGAAACAGCAGGCAGAAAAGGCAGTATAATAAACGAGAGAAGCTGCAGTAAAAACAGCAGGAAGCAACCACAGGTGATAGTCCCGAGGTTAAAAACAACAAAGACATGGAGGGAGTAGAGATGAGATATAGGATTATTGTTTTCTGTCCTCTCAGTCGTTTGCCCTTTTAACTTGTGTGAAAGGAAATTGAGATATTGCGAGAGGGGGGTGACTGATCTGTTTGTTCGAATTCCAGGAGCGCGTGGGAAACTTCCTGGCGGATTTCTACTCTGTGAACGGCCTTGTACTGGAGTCCAGGAAGAGACGAGAGCATCTGAGCGAGGAGGACATCTTGAGGAATAAAGCCATCATGGAGAGTCTGAGCAAAGGAGGGAACCTCATCGACCAGAACTTTGAGGTGACCGTCAACCTTGTTGAGTTGTAACATGTTGTTTTGACATCACAACATTGTCATGAAAGACAAATCAACAAACAAAACCGTCACATTGGCTATCCCATCATTATTTGTTTTGTCACATGACTGACATTTTTGCCATTTATTCACTTGGGACTTTTAGAATGAAACCCAACTTACCGTAGTTATTTAATAAAACTAACAACTATTAATCTATATCTGACTTTTTATCATTAGTGCATGTTTGTTAACAAATTAGGCACTTAGAAATTTGATTCCTCAACTATTTTGTTTTGTTGTTTAAAATGCATAATCTAATAATTTGATGCTGCTATCTCAATGTTCCTGTTCTATCTCATTTCTTTCAGTATGGATGTATAAGAGAATGATGAAATCCCACTTACAGCAGATATGCTGTTCTTAGCTGCCTTTTTAGTGATGTTTGATGTTGCTAGTTGCTTTTCTCAGAATAAATCATAAGCACTTGATATTTAAAAAATATCCATCCATTCATCCATCATCTTTACTCACTTCCTCCTTTTTGGGTGGGTGTAATGTTGAAATTCATTATTGATTATTAGTTTTAACATGTCACACCCACTGGTCAGAAAACCCCCCTCCAACTACCTCAAAGTGGCCCATGGGCCACCAGTTGATCATCACAGTTGTAGCAGGTTTCGTGGCTCCGGGCTCTTTTTTAATTTAATGAGTGGGGCAAAAATGGCTCTTTGGTCAAAAAGGTTGCAGACCCCTGGTCGCGGGGGTCACTGGTGCCCATGCTCAGCCATCACTGTACGAAAGGCGGGGTACACCCCGGACATGTCTCCAGTCCACCACAGGGCCACATATAGAGAGACAAACAACCATTCACTCTCTCACTCTCACCTAGGGACAATTTAGAGTTACCAGTCAGCCTAACATGTATGTTCTTGGTCTGTGGGATGAAACCGGAGTACCCAGATAAAACCCACGTATGTATGGAGAGAACATGTAAACTCCACCCAGAGAGGCCCCCAGCCAGGATTTGAACTGGGGTGACCTGCTCTCTGAGAGGCGGCAGCTCTACCAACTGCGCCACCGTGCTGCCCATTAAAAAATAAAATAAAATAAATAAGTGCAACTTGGCGCCTCTGCTCTATTAGTAAACATCCTGTTCACGTACACCTGTGGACTAACCACCTGTTCAATCCCCAAACTGTCTAGTCCTGCTGGAACCTTGGGGTAGGACAAGAGTTTCTCAGACAAAATGAACCTCACTGTTCTATGTGTTTGAAGATAACTCTTACAGAACCAGCATGGATATATTGGTAAACTTTAAAAAAAAGTTTGCATGGTTTGTTGAAAAATCCCCATTCCCACACTGATGCTTCTTTTCTTTGCATGTGTTTGAGTTGCAGCACTACCACCTGCTGGTGACAGCTTCACAGCTGCACCTTATTTACACACCTCTCTGACCCAGCATCCCCTCACTACATACAGTATGTTCCAGAGTTTGCTTAGCAAGCTGTTGTGTAAACACCAAACATAAAGCCTGTGACATAGTAAGGACAAAGCCTCTCAGCACACAGCAGATGCCTTTTAGCTGCTGTTTTTATGCACTCTCTCTTGTTCTGGGCTGGGTTTTGTTTCATCACACTGCCCTTTGTTGCCATGCAGTCTCTTTCCAGCACAGGGAATTCCTGCCTAGTCACGTTTAAAGCGAACAGGTTAGTTTCACAGGAGGAACTATTTTCTGCGTGTGTCTCAGTGGAAATTAGTTCCTGTGAAGTAAAATGGGCAGCAGCTGTGATGAAGGCATGTTTACAGCAGTGAGGGGGGACCGGGTCAGTCTGTGGACTTAGGCAAGAGTGCAGGGCTTTAAAATAGAGCTTGATGCTATTGATGACTGGGATGATTGCTACCCCCTACCCGGGTACCATGGAACGAGTTGGGTGGGGACCAGCATACCAGGAGATCAGGATTTGCTTTTGTGTGTTTTGCTCTCGTCACAACAACATGCAAAGGCTGGTACACACTGCAGGGAAAGATGCACATCTGTGATGACTGCCGTGCAAAACAAGTACCGTCGCTTATTTTTCTCACATTTTATTCACGTGTTACGTCATTCTGTCCTGGTCGCTTCCCAGCAGCCTTAAAAACATGTCGGCCAAAGTTTCAAACTCGAACACTTGGAAAGAGGAGGTAATTTTGGGAGAATGTCAGTTTTGGGATTAACAATATGGCACTTGTCCCAGATCTAGTTCAGGGTCGTCCAGAACGAGTTGTCCGGTCCTAAAATAAACTGACACAGAAGACTGATTCAGTGAAGGCACAGCAGACACTGCTCTTCACTGGGAAGATGCTCTGCACTTTTGTGAATTCTCCTTTTAGCTGCTTTGATGCTAGAGAGTTTCAGTGTGGGTGAGTAAAAATAATCTGGAGGATGAATGTGACCTAACCACAGCTGCGCTAACTTTGACAGAACGATAAGTTTGACACCGTCTTGCTCATGAAGACCACACTTTAACGATATACGTACGTGTCAGTTGTTATTTAAGACTCAAATATCTAACCATTATGAAAGGTTAGCTTCTGATAACTGGGTGCCATTAAATTAGTGCTAGGTGTTAATGATACTTTATTACGAATGCGTGTTTACAGACATGTATTTAAGGTTGTGCAATGACGCAGCCCATCCATTTTCTTTACCCATTTTTCCGTGCAGAGTAGCAGGAAGCTGGTTCCTTTAAAGAAGTTTCTTTATTTGCCTTTATTTATTTTAATCGTACTTTTCTGAAGCAGTCAAGTGTGACGCTGAAAGGGATTAAAGACGAGGGCTCTTATGTTCAGGACGCAGCAGAAACCAGTACAGATCTATAATCGGCCAAACGCTGAGAAACCGAGTCTGATTTCAGCTCTTTGCACATACATGTTTCGTGATGTACTTTGTTTCTCAGAAGGCTTCTTGGAAATGTAGGTACGGACAGTATGTGAGGTTGGAAGGGCCGTCTGTGACTCCCTCTAGTGGCCTTACAATAGCTGTGCATTTGTTTTAAGCCTCTGAAAACATTTTAACAGTTGGGTCTAATAATATTTGGTCACTGATATTGAGATTTGGCTAACCATATTCAGCCAAATTAAATTTAAGGAAAACAAAACAAAAAAATAGCTTAAATGTAAAACATCAAAGTTCACGCTCAATAATCCAGGTAGAAAATTGTGACCGCAACGTCTCAACAAAAAAAGAAACCGTCCAGATGACCTGACTGAATTTTGTTGGATTTTTTTACCTGGATTATTGAGCATGATGTTTTGAACCACTTGGACTATGGCTGCCTGAGAGGAGTCGGCAGGGGAGAGGACGGGCCCCAGAAACCATCTTATCACCGTTAAACTGGTTGGCCCACTATGTGAGTGTGCTGCTTGTGGGACTGAGTTTGTTGTGGCTCCTCGAACTGATGAAGTCCTTTGGATGAAGGATGAAACGTCTCAAAAAAAAAAAAAAAAAAAGAAACCATCCAGAGGAACGGACTGAACTTTGATGGACTCAAGTGTAAAAATATACAAATGCTTAAGATATCCAATGTGTACGTTAACACATTTATCAGCGCTCTGCTTATAATTTCATCCTGTTTTATTTATTACAGTATGTGTTGATGTCTTTGGAGGGTTTCTAGACACCAGAAAATGACAGGCTGCAGACATAATAATAACAGTGATGACTACCGCTACCTTTTAGTATGCCTTTTAATATTAATAAGATTATGTGCTGCTGATCTCATGCTGCTGATTTATTTCATGCTGCTGTGTTCATTCATACTCATCTGCTCACACAGAGACTCATGTTCGTGCTGCTGTTGTTCGGCATATTGTTTTTGTACTATAAAGTGTTTAGCATATTTCTTAGTTCATATCTTAGATCTTATTACTGTTTTTCTTTTACAATTTATACTTTTGTTGCATGTAACTGGGACCTTGAGTACACAATTTTGTTCCACCACATGTACCACGTGTGATGTGAATGACAATAAAGAAACATTGACCGCAATATGGATAGGTTTAAAAATTAGTCACTATTTTTAGGAGATTAATCATAAGTTAAAACATTAAAACTCCTACAACTAAGGTCATTATAACTTATTGTCAGTTAGGTTAGCAAACAAATCCAGCTCCCATTTTAATGAACATTAAGGAACAAATATTAGTTAAAGTGAATTTAGACTACTTCCTGTTTTATCACTCGTTTGTTCTTAATGGGTTATTGATAGAACATTTCCTTTTTTTGGTCTTTCAGTCTACAAGAAGACAATCTTTGACTCCCCCCTCACCCAACACTATATCCTGGGAAGAATATATCACTGCTGGCAATGGAAAGTAGGTGATGGTTTAATAATGTGTTGTTAATTTTGTTTACTGGAACACCAAATGACACAAACTGAGTCTGCTGCTGCTTTTTCCTCAGAGCGCCTCATCTAGGAAGAGAGCTGGTCTGCAAGGAGAGCAAGAAACACTTCAAAGCCACGATAGCCACGAGTCAGGACTTCCCTCTGGGCATCGAATCGTGAGACAGATTTTAAAGTACAAGCTTATCTTTCTATGAAGAATCACAAACCCGTGTGTGAACTTTCTTCTCTGTTTTTCTCCCACAGGTTACTGAACGTTCTGGAGGTTGTTGCGCCCTTCAAGCACTTTAATAAACTCAGGGAGTTTGTTCAGATGAAGCTCCCCCCTGGTTTCCCTGTCAAACTGGGTAAAGTTTGAAAAATGAGAATATTTTCATTTCGTATTGTGTTAAAATCCATGAATAAACAGAATATTTTCCAAAAAAAAATTTTTTTCCCTCATAGTTTTTTTTTCTTCTGCAGACATCCCGGTCTTTCCTACCATCACAGCCACGGTGACATTTCAGGAGTTTCGCTACGATGAGTTTGATGAATGCATTTTTACCATTCCCAACGAGTATAAAGAAGACCCAAGCCGCTTCCCCGACCTTTAACCTCTCGCTCTGGACTACGAACAGGCCACTTTATTCCTACAAAACGTACCTTTTGAATAACAAATAGGCTGCAGGTTTTATATGTGGCAGCAGGTAGCTTTGAGTCGGATCATCTCATCAAAGGGCATTGAACTTAAAGGCATCAGTTTGTGTATTATGGGATATGAGTAGCAAAAGGATACCAGGTCAGTTGATTTGTATTTTAAGTATGTAAGTATTGTTTTTAAAGAGGCTGTCTTAAACTGACATGTAGTCAAGCACTGATATTATTGTGAGAACCTTGAGAGGAATTCTGCTCAAAGTTCATATTCATGTTCTACAACAAGAGCAAAAGTAAAAATTGTAATAATTTTTATAAAACCTAAGGTGCAGGCTTAAACAGGCGGGTAAAATCATTCATTTCCAGGAACCACAATAAAAGCCAAGAGAATAAATTAACGAGTTTTATTTGAACAAAACTCCTTTTAATGCACAAAATTCTGTGGTTGTGTATGACGACGATTTTTGTGAGCATGAATATTTGGGCACTTTTTAGATTGTGTTACTCCAGCCGAGTTTAACAACACTCGTTTCAGATTAAACCTTTAATCCTGCATTTTGAAATATCAGGTTTTTTAGGTGAATGCCTGATGATTTTTATGGTACATCTTGGGGAGGGAGCAAGTCTTAAGTTGGGTTAACAAACTTTGTCACCTTTTTAAAAACCGTTTAGCTACAATCCTGTTGAGTGGTGATTGGAGAACAAATTGCTTTTAACATAACATCCGTGCTGTTTTTTTTACACATGAAACCAGGCTTGTTGTTTTACACCCTGTATAGTTATTTTAGTTGGAAAGTAATGTTTTTTACTTTTATTCTTTGAACTTACAAGATCGACGTTCCCTGCAAGCAGATAAGTGTAATTTCTTTATGTAGCTGTGAGTTGAATCAAGTTTATTGGTTTGTAAGCAGTGGTACATTTTGTACATACTTAGTTTTGATTATCTTTTAATCTTCCTGTTTGTTTTTTCCTTTAAATATTGAAACAATCATTTCAGCTGTATGAAAAGCACAAAGCACCCGGATTCTCTCTAAAAACAGGAAATGTTTCATTGGTGCTGCTCTGGTTCATGAGCTCCTCTCACTGGTGCAGACCAGTTTTATCACATCCCCGTTTTTAAACAAGATGCTCGTTTCGCCCACGTTTAGCAAAACCAAAATCCAGTATCCTCGTTTCTAACGTTCCATAGTTCTATAAGTGCAGCTAGCGGAAGCGTGCCTCTTTACTGAATTAATGCTTTACGTTATTTGATGCTCCTTCCTGACTTAGGCTGCTGTTTTCTGTAGGGAGTCGTTCATCTATCTACATGTCAGTTGTACAGCAAAAACTGTTGTATACGTCTGCAACACTATTTTCATATAAAATGTACTAAAATAAAAACATCCAACAGTCTGCTGCTCCACATCCAGTTATTAATGGAAACGGGTCCGTGCACGTTCTCTGGGTTTGGAGTCGTTCAGTTAGAATGACAAAATGCACCAAACTAAACAATGTTTGTAAATTGCACCCGCCTGTTTTAAAAAACAAACAAACAATGTAGTACTTTTAGCTGTAAAATAAAATGTCTACTTTTGTTCCAGCAATGATGCCACAGGTTAGGAGTTTACCCCACTTTTATTTGTTTCCTTTGGAAAATCTATTTGAGACTTGTGTATTTCACTGTAACACATTTCTATCTACAATCCAAACTGAAGATGTGCAGCTGAAGTTCGACAGTGCATTAAGTGGGTAACCCCCAAAACAAAACATGGTACAAGTACAGCTTTTAGATACATTTTACTGTCAGGACTTAGCTAAATCAAAATCTTTTTACAGACACAGAAGTTTAAAACAATTTTTCATGTTATCTGTATTAGTGTGTGTCTTAAAAAATAAAAATAAAAATCAGAATTGTTTCTACAATTAAGACACAAACTTGTTAACGTTGTGGGGTCAGGCACAGACATGTGGAATACATTAGAATATAAAAACAGTGAAAAAACACGACTTGTCTCAGGAATCTCAGTCGCTCATCTCCATGTCCTCCTGATGATGGTCGTCACCATTTAGTTTGGATTTCTTAGAGATCCGAGCTGCATTTTTCTCGATCTCGTGACCTTTAGGAGACGTGACAGAATCGGAGTCGCTCTTCCTCTCATCATCTTCCTCTCCCTTTTCACTGTCGTAACCTTGCTCCTCCTCATCGTAGTCCCGGGTCACCTGTATTGTAATTTATTCTTTTAATTGGCATGTACTGGTAGGTTATTTTTAAAAAGTACAGACTTTACAGCCAAGCCTTGGTCTTGAACATTTTGATAAGCATTACGTTGTCCTGATAAACTGAAGTGCCCTTTTTTTTTTTTTTTAACAACATGCAACAGCATCAAGTATGAGGGAGAATCAATGATGTTCTGCAGCCTTCTGACACCACGGAGATCTAGAGTCAACAGAAATGTAACTTTCTAATCGTGCTATAACAAGAGTTTGAGCTGTAAAATACACTATTTTGTGTGTGTGTGTGGGGGGGGGGGGGGTGTACTGTAGATTAAGGCTTGGTAATCTGAGTCAACATTAGCAAGAACGAGCTTGACCAAACAGTTTGAATCACTTGGTTGTACAAGGCTCTGGAGGTCATCAAACTGGTCAGAGACTGGTCAGTTTTCAAACCTGTGTTCAGAGTCGAAGCTCTAATGACCGCATCACTGAATGCTTTTATTTTATTGAGTTGCTTTGTTTTCTTTAAATAAAACTGGTGGCTTTGCATTTTCTTACAATATAAGTTTTACACAGACATTCTCTACCGAGCACATACCTTCACATCTTCTTTCTCGCTGTCAGACATCCGGTCCCGTTCTCGCTCTTTCTCCTTGTTCTTTTTCCTGCTGGTTGAGCGTTCTGGCTCTCTGCTACGGTCCCCGTCCTCCCTCCTGTCTCTATCCCGCTCCTTCTCACGGCCCTTGTCCTTCTTTTTTTCCTTCTTGTGGCTGTTAATTAAACACATTTAACTTTTAGCTGGGGGAATAATATAGTTGATGTAAAAAGACAAATGAAGTGCAGACTAACCGTCTGGGCGATGGAGACCTGGACGGCTTTCTCTTGGGTGACCTGGAAGCACTGCGACTTCGCCTGTGCCTCCTAAAACATACATGAACTTTATTGACTGCTGTGATAAGAGCGTCACGTATGAAGCGAGCAGGCTGTTCCCTGACTTCCACCAGAGGTAAATACTGCATTAACCACTCACCGATTGATGCTTCGAGACCTCCTGGCACTGCTGTAGCTCTTAGGGGGCGTCTTTGACCTTTTCTTAGGCTTTTCTTCCTTCCTCCGATCCCTGTTCAAAACATGAGTGCAAAAAAAAAAAAAAAAACAGTCACAAAGGAAACAGTGTCAAACTTTCAAACAGAAAATAACATTTTAAACTTTTTATCTACACCTTTGCTCTCTACTGCAGTAATTAAAATATGCTCAGAAAGACGTTTAATACAAAAAGAACAGGAATGAAGTGACAGACCTAGATCTACTTCGACGACTTCTTTCCTGAGAGTAAGTCCTCCTCCTCCGGGGGCTCTTGGACCTTCTTTTACTTCTTGAAGCTCTTGAATGAGACATATGCTGAGACCTGCTCCTTGAACGTCTGATCAAAAAAATAAAAGAGCATATGTTAGACAGTGAGGCACATTTTTCCTTTGGGATAATAAAGTCTTCTTATTCTACAATTTAACGTTTGTCTTGACCAAATGGGAGTATTATTCCTGGCTTTGATTGTTACACATTTACCTGTGCCTTGATGGAGTCCTGGACCGTTTGCGCCGTGACCGCGAACGGGAACGTTTGCGCTTCTCATCTTTCTTACCTGCAAAATGTTCAAATACAAATTTATATAAAAGCCATATGGCAAACTTGTTGTTCACATAAAACATTTAAAATTTCACTAAACCAATAAAACTAAATTAATATTTACCGTACTAAACAGAAAAACTGCACTTTCTCTATAAAATGCAATTTAAGGCAAGTATTCTACATTCACAGAATTAAAACAACATTTTAGAAAATTGTGTTTAAAGTTAAAACAGTTAAAACTCACTTCCAGGGTCAATAGCATCTAAAATCAGAGACTGAGCCTCTCTGACTTTCTTCATGGTCTCTTCGATCTCCTTGTTGGCAGAATCTGGTTTTAGACCAGAAGTCAAGCCCAGCCCGGCGGCTAATGGATTTAGTCTGCAAAAGTCAGCGTTCACATTTAGGTAAACAACGTTTTGACGACTGGAATGAAAACCTGGTCTAACATAGTTATACTTTCTTACTTTGGATCCATAGACTGCATGAGCTTCAAAAAGTCTGCCGAAAGAGTCTGAGAAAAAAAGAAAATTCTTACTTATATACTTATTCTTGTTTCTTAAATCCAGTTTCTATGGTCGTAGTTTATCATCACCTGTTGGTTCATGCTAGGTGCAATTCCCATGGCAGCCATTTGTTCCAAGTTGTGAGCGCCAAGACCTCCAAATGGTGTAGCTGTCATCTGAAATGTCAAACATTTATACTTTTACTATTCTGCAGAGACAATTTTACATTCCCCCCCCTTCCCAAAACTACAACGCGCTTAAGGGGCCATGATACATTTTTTAAATTATATTGCCAAGCTAAGAAAAATAAATAAATAAAAGCCATACAGTTACGAGAATAAAGTCATAGAATTACGAGAATAAAGTTGTACGATTTTTTTTTATTTTTTACAGCCGTCGTTAATTTTTTTATTTTTCTCCGAGTCTGATCCACGATGTGACCTGTCAATCAATCCAGTAGGCATGTTGGCAAATGACCGATCCGAAGCTAAATGAGTCGTAATATTATCCGAACTCCAACACATAAAGCAGGGTTTACTGCATTATAACTGTGGTAAAATGAATGTTTGTTAAACTTTATTGTTATCGACGCTCTTACCCAAAACGTGATCCACCTGCTGTTTTTTTTGGTCTTTCTTTATACGAAACAAATACAATTTTGTATGCTGCTTCTGGGATGCATATACATGACATCATTATGTCATGACTTTTGTTTCCGTTTGATAACGGCGCTCAATGAGCGAAACTCTGCGTGCAGCGCTGTTAGAGGTCTTAGACAGACTTCTTTGGTTCATTTACCATTTATTTATACAGGTAGTCACGAGAACTCATTTTCAAGAGGGACCTGTTTAGGGAGCAGATGGTGGGGGTTAAGGGCCTTGCTCAGTAGCCCAGAGTGGGGCGAAAGAGGGTGGAGGGAGGTGTGGGTGTTCCACCTTTTCCACCCACATTTGGATGCGAGTTGTAACTGCGACTTTCCGATCACAGGTCCATCTTCTAACCTCTGCGCCACCACTCCCCCAACCATGAATTTTATAGGAGCATTTAACTTCCGATTAGTCATTTGCTGACATGCCTACTGGATTGATTGACAGGTCGCGTTGTGGAGTCGACTCATGGGAAAAACAATAAAAGAGATGTTAAAAATAAATAAATAAATAACTCGTACGACTTTATTCTCGTAATTTTATGGCTTTTAATTTTTTTTTTTTTCTTAGTGTGGCAATGTAAAAAAAAATTTTCCTTAGCATGGTCCTAAAGCTCCATCATACAAAACAAACACTTTCTTGTAATACAACTTCATCATGAAAACTAACCGATGCAAGAGGATTAGGTGTTGGAAGAAGGCCTCCACCAGGCAGCATTCCTGCCAAAGCGTTGGCTGGAGCCAGGAGCGACATGGCTTTAGATTCATCAGGAATAACTCCTGGAGAAAAACAAAAACATTTCAGTACATGCTCAGAGAAAATGCTGACAACACTAAGACAAGACTTGCAGACAAGCCACCTCAGTCCAACTACTCTGTAGTTAAAAATAAATAAGGAGCCACTTTTTGTCTTGTCTGTAAATCTTGATGGCTGATTTGTTTTGTGAAATTATAATTGTGGGATTAGCAGCTAAGAGATCAAGTTACAATACACACTGTGGTCAACACTGCCAAGATTTTATCACCTGTACTTGTTTTTAAAGTCATGAACCAAACGTTAGCAAGCACAGCCAGTTGTCCCGTGGGATGTGCTCTCAAATTTCATTAACAAGCGACGCACGCCGGCTGCTTCGCTATAAAGCACACAAAAACATTGAGATACAAAAAAAGTTCATGATTTGGGTGTAGAGACAATTATACATTTCAATATCACTTACCATAACCTCTACAAAAAAAACAAAACAGAAAAGGTTCAGTCATTTTACCTTTTCCAGTCTTTGATTGACCCCACAACAAAAACACTACTGTCAGACACTGGTGTAATTGTAGGTAACACAAAACTATAAACTGTGTCAAAAACAATATGAACTAAACAATCAAGGACTATTCCCAACAATGATTGTTATAAAAATCCTAAACTATATGCTCAATAATGATGAGAACAAGAAAATCTTAAAAGATGATCATCCATGTGTAATCTGAAAACAGGCTAATTTCCATCTGACTTTTTTCAAAACAGGGAGAGACAAACACCCACACACACATCCATCAACGCATGCACACACACACACACACACACACACACACACACACACACGCTCAACAGAAAAGACACTTGAGAAACAGGATAAGGCTGCAGAAGACAAAACTGTTGGTGGCATTTTCAGCAGGGCCTGGTAAATAGGGCTGGCTGAACCAGGAAAAAGAACTGTAAAACAACAACAAAAGAAACACCACCGTTAAACACGAGTCACTCAACTCATTCAGAGTTATGTGTGGATCAGGCAGAGCCTTAAAAGTTTCATTTGTACGGTAATGGAAAAGTTGGTAATGCAAATGTTAAATTAAACATGTCTCTGGTAAATTCAGCATTTAAATGCCCAACAGTGTGTGTTTATTATGATTAATAACCACGACATGTTCTAACAAACCTCATCATCCCAAACCTTTTAATTCTAACACAGCATGCAGAGCTGATTTATTTAGCATGCTTTCTGCTTGTTTAGGGAAGTCCCGAACATTTTTGCTCCATATGCAAAAATTTGATATACCAGACTCCAAAAGCACCAATTTTAGATCCTGTATTTAACATATTTACAACACCATACTGTGCACAGAGTTATTGAGCAGATAAAAGTAATGTAGTAGAAGCAGATCCATTAAGAGTGTTTCCTTAACATATCTGCATCAAGACAAACAAACAAAAAAAAAAGCCAGACTCAAAACACCCTTACTGGTGTTTTCACCAGCTGATTAGATACTAAAGACTGTGTGAACCTCCATCACTCTACACAGTCACATCTCCCCCTTTGTTGGATTTGTTAGAGGTCAAGTCCATCATAGGCCTAACTTACACCTAAAAACAGGCGTCATCCACCAGCGCATGAAAACTTTGTGCAGAACTTTGACTGTATTGTGGCAGACAGTGTGGCTGTTTGAGCAGTAACTTCGGTGTGTATTGTTAACTTTAGTTACGCAATATTTCTAAGAATAAATGCATTTTTGAAATGTAAATATTTTTGAAGAATATAACATTTGATAAATCCTGGTAAAACAGAAATAAAACATTGCTCTCTTTTGTTTGTTTTACTTAGTTGCTATTAGAGCATCAAGTGGAATTTATTCAAACTGGTTCAAGCCAATTTGGGAAATTGACAGCTAGTGTGAGAAAAGGTTGAAACATAAAAATATATATATATAATTTTTTAACAAAATAGGCCAAATATGTCTAACTGATCTAGTTGTTTAGGGCAGCCTAGATGATATTAAAAGTAATATTTAACTACAAAAAAATGCATAATTTGAATTTGTAAAGAAATGCTCAGCACCCTCTTCCCCCACCTATAGATTTGAGTTGCGTTGCTATTTTTAAAGAAAAGTTGCCTTGAACAGAGAGAGAGAAAGAAGTTAATATTTTACAGCAGAACAAAGAGAAAGAGAAGAGGCTTGCGAATGTGGTGCCATTATTTTTTCTAATCTCCTGATGGCAGCAGAAGTTCACTTTCAGCCAGCAAGGAAGTGCCTCTCTGCAAATGACTTGCCCACTATGAAAACCACAACACAAATAACAGAGAGAAAAGTTTACAGCTAGTTTGTAAGACATAGACACAAATGTACATTTCCCTGTTACATTCCTAGAAATGCCAAGCACAGAAAAGCCTAGCAAAAATAAACTCACAGTGACTCAGACTCGGATAATGTTTGCAATTCTATCCATTACACTTACAAATGTGATGTATGCTTAGAAAAAGCTGTGTGAATGAAAAAAATAAAATAAAACAGACACCCACCTTCAGCAAAGGGGACCACGATCAAAGCTCTGTCCACAAAAACGGTGTTCGTCAGGTGTTGAGACACTCCCACCGACTCGGGCTCACGGAACTTTACAAAACAGACACGTGAAGTCACAGGCAAGGGAGAGTCACTGGAAGAAAATACAGATATGTTGTGCAAAGAATACAAACACAAAGGCTCAACATATCCTCTTCAAGTTGTCACTGTGTTGTGTTGCACAAGAACCCTGTTGAGAAATGCGTTTTTATCACCATTGTTTTTCATTTTTTCCCAACCTTCTCCGGGTGGTTGCAAGTTCTAATCTGTGCGGCTTTGAATCATAAACTATATTGCTGCAAATACTTTTTAAATTATTATTATTTTGAAGAACTGACTGAGAACACCTCCCACCTGTGGAGTAACAAGGCAAAATTAAATAGAAACAAAAACAAGGTACAATAATCCAGTCCAGGGGTGCAGTCAATGTTCCAAAATGTTTCACAGTCATATCAGATGTGTTTGTTAGTCCAGTATAAAAATAAAAAGTACTGACTTAAAGCCTAACAGTTTGCTTGTTAATTAAAAGTAAACGATTAGCTCCCTTGTTCTCACACACCTGAGTTAAAGAACTGCATCAACAGATGAATATCAAATCAATTTTGTTTATTACACATCCTTTAAAACCAGGTGTGCTGAAGGAGGTAATCATAATTCAATAAGAGAATTTGAGGAAAGAAATTAACTTATAGACACCAAGAGATGGCAGTAGTGCAACATTGATGGATGCAAGCTGCCGTTAAAAACCAAAGAAGAAGAAGAAGAGGTAATCATAAAACACGCAGGAAGGATCTAGCTTGCAACACTGATTTAACATGACTTTTCAAAGCAGACGTGTAAACTGCAAGCTTGTGTTAATGCTTTTAGTTTCAAAGAAGGGTTTCAAAGAAGGCGAAATTCACGTATTGATCTGGGAGCTTTGAAAAAGTTAATACAAAAAGGAAACGGCACACGTGTCACGAGCGTGAGGGGACGTCTGAGACGCATTAGCACAACATTAGCATTAGCATAACGTTAGCATTAAGCATTAGCACAATATTAGCATTCAGGGAGGCCTGTTCGATGCTGCAGGCCTTAAGGAGAGCCGTGCGTAGGCCAATAAAGCTTTACCCAGCAATAATACATAATACTCACTCAGGTGGAAACAGTTTGAGCTCCTCTATGGTTCCGAGGAATTCAAAAAGACTCCTCATTTGTTCGGACGTTGTGCTCGGGGAAACATTTGTCACCTGAACGACGTGCGTGTTGGAGCTCATTTTCACAGCCGCTAACTATGCTAGCAATTAAGTCTTAAATTAAAATTCAAGCTATGTTAGGTTTACAGTGTAAAAAAAACTATCGAGCTAATACAAAAATTTGCATGTCTAGTTAAAAATAAGTGGATGTTGAGGAGCTGCAGATCGGCCGCAGCTCTGTCGTGACTGGAGAGGCGGTGATGCTGCTGCTTTCAGGTACCAGTTTTCGCCTTCGTAATTGAGCACTTCTCGTGGCAAACACAATTTTGCGTCTTGCTTTATTTGATTATATAAAACAAAAGTGCAAATACATCAAGTTTACGCACAAGAATAATGCATTTTAACATATCAAAAGCTATATTAACAACATACAGCGAAAACTGAGCGTCCCAATTAACTTCGGTTTTAAAAGTACGGATATAATTTTTCAGACCGTACGTAAAGTAACCGCGGATCTCGCTAAGCTGTTAGCTGGTGGCTGCTTCTGTTGCTGTCCCTGTGTGTGTATGTCTTCATCTCAAAATGACAAAAGTGCTGAAAAATGAAAACACTGACTGTGCTGGTGATAAGACGAGAGAGGTATGAACGAATATAGAAGTGTTCGAGTGTCTCCTTAGGGTTTAACAAACATGGTCGACCTCTACGCGCCTAACATACAGCTCTACCGCTAGCTAACTTAGCAGATAGCACCTTCTCAGGGTTGTCAAACAGGTTGCAATATTAAATAAATCTGCTTTTGAGAGTATTTTATATTTGTTCCGCTTCTGCTTAGTTATTTGAAGTGTTGTCAGAGCTGTGGCATGAAAATTAATTTAGGGCAGCCCTCGTAGAAGCTGTCAAGTTGGCAAGATAAGCTTTATTAAAGTTCTATACTTCCTGTCTTTATCCGTACATATTAATATTTTGTGCATGATAACAACATACCTTTGCGCTAGTGTTGAATACAGATTTACAGTCGAACTATTTCGTTGCACAAAACCACATGCAGATTGCCATAGCTTGAAATGCACATTTTGTATTTTAGTCCAAAATAATTGTGCTCACAGTTCATTGCTCAAGGTGAACTACGAAGACTTAAATAATTATGAAGAAAATTGCACATCAACTGAATCAAATGTTAAAGATAATGACCTCAAAGCTATTTTTAAAAGGTAACGTATTTAAACATCATTTATTGTGCTTGGAATCATTTGTGTTATTATTAGCTTAGGAAAACTTTATTTATTTATTTTTTTTAAGATCAGATTTTTTTTCTTTGGTGTTTTTTTCTGAAGTTGCTGTGTGTTTTGTACAACAAACCAGGCTGTGTACTTCCTCTCTTAAAGGCAGGGGTGTCCAAAGTGTGGCCCGAGGGCCATTTGCGGCCCTTGGAGTGATTTTGTGCGGCCCACGACTGCAGTTAAACAATGGTATAATTTTGACCCACAGGCTTAAGAGGTGGATGCAAATGTAGATCTTTAGATTTAATGGTGATGCTTTTTAATTTTTTAGGTTTAGCAGCAAAACAGATTAATCTTCTCAAAATGAGCGATATTAAATACAATACAAATATTTAGCTGTAATTAATCCCTTTTTCCTACAATAAACCTTCACTGACCTACCAAAAAGTAGAATTTTGGATAATAATTCATAAAACTTGGCCAAATTTAACAAGTGTTTTCAAAGAAAATAATTTCAGTTGATGTAATAATCAATAGGGATAAATTGAACGTTTTTATAGAAATATAAAGTGGTATCATCGACATACAAGTTGATCGACTTTATCGGTGTCCCTTCAGACGTTCCATGAATCTGTTTTAGCGACTGCCAGCTGTTTTTTCAGAACTTTGATGACCCTTTTGGACCATCCATGGTCGAGTCCTTTCATCTAGACATTTCTGGCCCACTTATGAAAACGTTTGTACACCCCTATCTTAAGGGATTAAGGAAATGCTATACAACAATCTTGAAACACGTGATGTAAAGATGAGTGTCTGCCATCTCTTTCACCTTTTTTTCAAAACCTTAAGGAATTGTTGCCTTGTGGAAAAAGAGCGTATGTCTCCTTTAAATGAAAACATCAAGTATCTCTTTTTTTTATTTCTGCATCCACATTTTTCTTTTTTGAGGCACAAACTAAAACAATATTTTTCTCTTACAGGAAAAGGTCAGCAATTTATAATCAGTGACCTGCACAAAATAATGTTTTTTCCAAATATACTTCACCAAACGTGACACCAACGGGCCGGTATGGGCCTGTTAAGACTGTTAGCCAAAATCATGGGAAGGATCAGTACGTTCAGGTCCTATCAGTTTGTTCTCCTCCTCGCTGCCACGCTTGCTGTCGTAGCTTTTTACTACTTTGGCTCAGAGAGACACAACTTCTCCAGCACCACAAAGAGGATAAAGCAAACGCAGGTCAACAGCAACAGAAACGATGCCGACCTAACTGTGGACACCAGAATCACACACCTGGCTGAATTTGAAGAACAAGGAGGGGAAGAGCGAGCTGAAAGAGGAGGGAGTGAAGATTTTGTGCTCAGAAAGGGGGATTTGAAGGCAGGTGAGCAGCATTACCATGCTCTCATGATGTTTACCAAGGTGGACAGAAGCAAAAGCCTGCAGGATAAATTCAGAGTGGCCATGTTGTCAATGGTAAACTACGGACGTTTCCTTGAAGGAGAAGTGTTGGTGCTTCATTTTGTGAGCGACCAGGCAAGTCAAGAACTGGGTCAGCAGATGCTGCAGGAGTTTCTCCAAGCTGCATCATTCAAATATGAGGTAAGAGTTAACAACACTGATATCTGATAGGTCTTCCAGTACTTTGATTTTATAATAGATTTTAGAGGAAAAACATAAATCACAAGAGTTTGACCTTGTGTTAGCAAAAAAAAAATTAGTTGCAATGTTTCCATAATGCAATACGTAGATTTAAATATTCCTTGGCAAATTGAGGCAAATTGTTACAGCTGAGGCTGTGGTTAAATTTGAGACACGTGGGGGCAGTGTTTGCCTACTAAAATGAGCCCTAGCAAACAGATATACCTCACTTGTTCTAGCCAAAAAAAGAAGATTATGTCTCTTGTGTGTGTTTTGTAAAACATCCTGCCCAGATTCTCCTCTTTTTGTATGCTTCTCACAGCACACAATAGAAACCCTGTTTACAAATTTCCTACTCCTTTCTTAATCTTTCCTGAGAGTCTTTCTTTTTGTTTTCCTAACTTCAGGAATGTCTCATTACGTAAAACATGTGGTGAGGATATTCCAGCTCTATTATCTGAGAAAGATCCAGTTCCTGTTATTAATTAATTGAAGTTTACTCAGCTTGGCATCTTGGCAGTTTCAAGCCCACAGGTTGAGTTTCATACCAGTATGACTCTGTCAGACACTTTACGATAAAGTGAGGTTTGCAAAGTGCAGATAGATTCTCTGTTCGCATATTTTGGTGAACCGCTGAGACGTTTGCAACAAAAAATAGGCTTGATATCTTATTGGGGACATGAAGGGTACTGTCCAATGTTGTTAGTTCAAGGTTCTTTATTGTCATTCGCATCGCATGTGGTACATGTGGTGGAACGAAATTGTGTACACAGGGTCCCAGTTACATTCAACAATAGCAAAAATATAAAGATATAAACAAGAAATATGTTAAACACTTAATAGTGCAAAACAATATGCCGAACAACAGCGGCACGAACATGAGTCTGTCTGAGTAGATGAGTACAAATTAATACAGCAACATGAAATCAATCAGCAACATGAGATCAGCAGCATGGATAATCAGCAGCACATATCAATTAGCACAAGTCACATATCAGCACATTATTTTAAGAATTATACCAAACATTTATGTAGTAAAATTGTATTTTTCTTATTCCAAGTTTAAACAGTATATGCAGATACCATTTTAGGAATAATAAAAAGCAGTTAAAATTGTTTTATAAATAACAATAAGCATCACGTTAGTGTAGATTCTTAGTCATCCAGGACATGATAATCATAAAATGTTCAAATCAGGTTTAGGTTTTATTAAATTACTTAGAATAATAGGCATCCTAACAATTGGTGATAGTTTGGATTTGAAAGTAAAGCACAGATATTCATTTTATTTTAAATTGTCAGGCAAAATTTGACCAAAAAATGCGTAAATTTCAGCTCAAGTGTGTATTAAGGAATACTATGTAAATACTGTAATAATTTTATAACAACAGAATATTGCTAACAGCTTTTTTTAAGATATACTGTATACATTTTTTTATTGTAGGTAGAACCAAGTAACTAATACTTTTTCTGTTCTGCTGAGGGCTGAAGTGTCTTGAGGCGATACTAACGGTGACATGGAAACAGTGCAGATGACTGGACAGAAAAAAGTCCTCTCCTGTGGGTGTAAATAATATTTCTGCAGCGGCTGTCCTGCTCACATTTCCTTGTTTTCTAAAGTAGTTTGAAAATTTGAAAGTTTGTGTTTCAGCATGAACTCAGAAACATAACATAAAATCTCATCTCTTATGTATTATGTGTATGACTTTGAAATATGGATGTTTTTTTTTTCTCCACTAAAAACCGATGAGCTCTGTATGTAAAATTATGTTCAATAATCTAAAGTCACTCCTCATTTCTTTATATTTTTTTCTTCAACAAGTTACACTATTTTGTCGTATTTTAAATTGGTCTTAAGCAGTAATGAATGCTTTTTGCATGTCTGAAAATATATACATTTTTTAACAATGGCTGTTAAAGAAAAGTAAAGAAAAGAGCTTTTGTTCTGTGTAATGGTCAACTTAGCACAAAAGTCCTTTGTAACATTTTATTAATGATAGTTTGTCACGTATACAGTTTGACACGGTTCTGTTTTTTTATTTTTTATTAGCGTTTAACAGGAAAAATATTTGGCGTATATTGTTACTGGTTTATATTACAAACAATAAATTCAGGAATCTTTAAATGAAATTGAACCATTAAGAAACAACTTATTTTAATAACTAACGTTTTGTTTTGGAAAAGCCCCACACAAACATGTCTCCACCCCCCACCTGCAAGCCAACACAGACACCCACAAACACAACCCCCCAAAAAAGAGTAAATTTATAGATTCCTAATTCAGAACAACAAGTCATACTTTCTGTTTATGTTGTCACCAGTACTTTTGATTCCTGTAAAAGTATATTATGAAAAGCAAAAAATAATTGTATAAGGAAAGTCCTTTTAGTTTAACATCAAAGTTTCAAGTTCTAAAAAATGTAGACGATGCCTGGACTGAACCTGCAGGCTGCCACCTCCTGCATATTTTTCAGTTTTATTTTAATCTTCCGGACCAATGCTTTTCAACACAATACATATATTTTCTTTCATTCAACCTTTATTTAGACAGGTTAATCCCATGGAGCCTCGAGGACTCATTTACAAGAGAGACCTGATTTCAACAAAGAATGATGACAACAATGGACAACAACAATAGACAGTTATAAAAAAGGCATACAGATTTTTTTTTTTTACAAATTAAAATAAGATGGCAAAACAAATTAACAAAAACAGCTAGATTCTAAGGCGAATGTAGAAAACTAAAAACAGGAACATGTCTGCATTAGTCCTTAAAATAAAAGATCTATCTTGAAACATTATTTTCACTGCACTGATACAAGTAAAACCAGACTTTCTTTATATATATTTATAATATATTCATTTCAACACACACACGCACACAAAAGAGACCTGTCATAAATATGAATGATATGGGGAGTCCCCAGAGCCTGACACTAGCAATGATGTACAAGAACACATGTCCTCATCCGCCCATCTTGGATTTCATTCCTTTTTATTATTCATCTTTAAGAAGAACAAGACAGTGGTTGTGCAATATTTCAGCTCCATTACCACCCAGCAGCAACAAATTCAGGGAACCATTTGGCATTTGGATGGAACAGCCTGCAGAGTCACACTGTCCAGAAGCTGTGCTCCTCATTACTACAGACTGTCCTTCACACAACATCCTGGAGTCTTGGGCGGTGTGTTCTTGCTAATGAGTGTATTGAAATTGAGCAGAGTTTGAATTTGATGCCTAGCATCAAAGCCTGTTTCAATTAACAGGACTTCTGTCTATGTGTTTGAATTTCTTTGACAAGTACAGACTAATCGCAATAAATAGAAATACAGTAGGCCCTCGCTACTTCGCGGTTCGTTTATCGCGGACGCTCTCTATCGTGATTTTTCAAAATAAGATTAAACATGACACACAATTGGCTGATTGATGTATGAGCTGCATGATCGGCATGTAATTTTTATTTTAAATTATTTTAAATTATTTAGCACCTTTTGTGCAGCCTACACTGCAGGATAAACTTCCTGCTGCAGCTGAACAGCTGTTCACCGTGCATTGCGGAGAAGTGGGCGTGGCCAAGAGCGCTTGCAGGTGGCAAAGAGCAGAGGAGGCAGGGAGCTGAAATCATGACATTCTGTGATCTTTTAGTGTTTGGAGTTTAGAAACATTGTTTAGAATATTACAAGAGATATTATAAACTACTACTTACTACTTGTACTACTATTACTACTTACCGGTTTTTCACTTATCGTGGGGCTTCAGGGTACGGATCACCCGCGAGAAATGAGGCACTACTGTAAACCCCTCATGAAGTCATGTAAAAAGTTAAATAAGAAGTTGTGAATTAGAGGTGCACCGATATATCGGCCGATTTCCCAAAATTAAGGAAATCGGCCGAAACTTGCATGAGAAACCGATTTTACCCTTTTTATTTTTTTTTTAACAACAATTGTCTGAACTTCATTTATTCAGAGCACTACCTCATGGCCAGTTAAAACAAGTGTGTATTGTTTCCAGGATATTGTTCAAGGGTATGTTTTTCAACAAAATATTGGAGAATTGAGGGTGCATTGTGACCTTATAAAATCTGACAGTGTCGCTTATAAAACTAAATCGGTATTGGCCAAAATCAGAATCGGCAGGTCAGACTTTTTAGAAATCAGTGATCGGCCAGAAAGCTGCAATCGGTGCGCCCCTATCGTGAATGCTTCTTAACCCTGTATTTTTAACCAGCAATATTCAGGCCAAGTGAACACGTCGTAATGTCTTTAAATTTTCCCAGAGTTCTTGTGAGTAAATGAATGTCCTGCTGACTGCGACTCTGGTGTACACATTTTAGGTTTTAATAGCCTAACCCCCCTTGGTACAAAATGACCCACAAACCCCCAGTTTTAAAACTGAAGCCTCATGGGCCGTTTTGACCCAAGGGCAGCAGGAGGGTTAAAGTTCACATTTTGTTTGTGCAAATCAAACCAGCTGCTAAGCATTCTTCTAAAGTCGTCTGTGTTCATAATGGGTAATGAAATTAATCGGTTTCAATTTTAATCTTGTGATCAAATTGAAGACATAACTATGGCGTCAACATTAGCTTGTGCTAAAAGACAGGCTAATAGCTCTATTTTTACCTGAAAATCTCTATTCTTAATCCACAAGATTGACATAAATTTAAATTTATTTATTTTGATTTTGGAAATTCAGTTTTTTCTTTAACACATAAACAGCAAAGCACCAGACAATGATCTTTTCTCACAGCGTTAATTGGACATCACGCTAACACCATAATAATGCATTACTGGTAGTTGTAAAATCTATCACGGCAGTCCCGGTCATTGAGGCCAGAAGAGTGCTAATTTAACCTAAATCTTTTACGTGTACCTGATATGAAATCCAGCCAGTTTCACTGCAGGTTTAACACTTGTTCTGTAACGTGACTCCTCTCTGTTCATCTTCCTTTCAGATTTTCTTTCATGATGTGGTTGAACTCACACATGAGCTGTTCCCCATTGTGGAGGCCATGCAGAAGCATTTCAGCGCTGGCTCTGGCGCTTACTACAGTGACTCCATCTTCTTCCTGTCTGTGGCCATGCATCACATCATGCCTAAAAGTAAGACCTGCAACAGTTTCCTTTACTTATTACGGTAGTTATACAGCTGTAGGTGTAATTCATATTTGAAATTAATTTGGATGACCTTTAATTAACACAAATCCAGCTGAGACCAGTATTCAAACCAGTGTTTTCACATTTTGTACCAGGACTACTCTACATTTTTGTTAATTACTGGTAATTTCACTTTAGTTCACAGACAATGGACAGTGTCAAACAACTAAAAGCGTTTGCTGAAACTAAAAAATTATGTGATGTCTTTAGTAATAATTCTCTCAAATGGCAGCTTATATAACTCAGATGGTGCACAGCTGGAAAAGGCAGCATGGGCAGGTATCTAAGGGACACGTGGCGTTCTGCAGAGACCCTAGGGTGTGAGGAAGGAAGGATGTGCTGTGCTGCTGCTGCCCCCTGTGTTGGTTCTGGCAGTGATCTCTCTTCTGTTGTGCACGGTTGCTGCTCACTTCAGTGAATGTGCAGCACGGGGCGTCGCCGCAAAGATGAACTAAACTTTTAGGCTTTGAGGTTTTGATCAATAGCAGTCAGAGGCCCAAATGTGAAACCAGAAGTCTCAGCTTTTCAGGCAGCAGAACACCACTGCGCTATTTCAAGGGTCATTGTGACATATGACGTGGCCCTTCAGATATTTTTATTATTTTGAGCGCAGTCAGGTCACACTTATTACTGGATTTTACTCCGTAACGGGTGAATTAAAGTGTTATTACTGTAATATCAATACCTACATGTCTTCCTATATTGTACCTTATGTTTATCTATCTATACGAAGCATCCAGAACATGACTTTATTGGTGTTTCAACCAAAGGAAAACTCTCTCTTTGAGACTTTGTATTGTGTGGTATTAAGTGTTGAAGATGTGCATTGTTTTGTTGTTCTTATTTTCTGAGAAGTCATGCAACTGTGGTGGAGCTCAGATTGTCTTGGCTGGGCTTTAACCATGTCATTTGGTGGAAATCTGTGTGACAAAACAATGAAAGTGGTGTGTGTCTGTTGCATCATGCTTCGTCCCTAAAATGATTGCTTGTCCACATGTCTCACCAGCGTACGGCGGGTGTCCAAGTGGTCACATGTTTCTATTTAAAGAACGCTTCCATCTAGAAAGGACATGACGTGTTGTGGTCTCAGGAGAAATAGGCTGGGTGGGGATTGTGTACAAAGTTGTTGTTGTTGGTGTTTTCTCCACAATGTGCTTTTTTTGATTGACTTTATAAATAGTCTTATAATAGTAATAATAATAATAACTTTATTTATAAACCCTTTAAAACAACTGCAGCTCCACCAAAGTGTTGTAATGTTGTAGCTGTAGTGCAGAGCAAATTTCAGGCTGTGCCAAAAGACAGGGAATAGAAATGTGTTTTCACAAGAGATTTTAAAGTGGACAGTGAATGGGGCTGGTCTGATGGCAAGATGGAGCTCCTTCCACAGTCTTGGAGCAGCTACAGAAAAAGAGCTGTCCCCTCTGAGCCTCTGCTTGGACCTCGGCACCTCCAGGAGCAGCTGATCAGCTGATCTGAGGCACCGAGCAGGAGAGCACAGGTGAAGCAGCTCAGAGAGGTAGGATGGAGCAAATGCATTTACATTTTTAAAAACATAAAATAATCTTATCATTTAGCAAACTGTTCATTAAACAGGGAATGTTTTATCTCATTAACAACGTAACAAAGGTAATGTCTAGAGATTAAAAAAAAAAAGTAGATCTGCTTTCAAGAGAAACAAGTTTCATTGTGATTTAACCGTTGAAAAGTATTTTTTTATTAAAAGTGATTAAAAAAATAATAATTCACTGCAGATTTAATGTGAACAAATACACACTCATGGCAAGAAAGACTTTGAGCAGTTTAGCTTTATCTCATATATATATATCTCATCTGTCATGCAGTTCTTTGCGTCACTGATGTTGCGCTCACTATTGTGATGACAAAACATTTTAGTGTATCGTGCAGCCCTATTTATCCCACCAAAAATCATAATGTATAAAAGAGAAAAGAAGCTTATTGAATATGAGATGGAATTTCCTTCAAAACCAATTTTCCAAATGAAAATTTGACATAAACTATTTTCTGTACTGAAGAAAATAGTTTGATTTGAAATTAGATCATTTTTTAAGTCTTGTGCCAATCATTTGAACGCATCATTAAAAAACAAACTCTGGTGAAAATAGAGTCATTAGAAAACACCCATGTCAAGAAGCCATCTAATAATCTGGACCAGTTTTCACAATCTTTTTCTCTGACAAGTAAGACACAAATGCCACAATATAAAGCTGATATAAAAATGGAAAATGTTTATAACACTGTTTCTGTTGGTGGAAAGGTGTTGCATGTTTTTTATTCTCTCTGGAGTTCTCAACATGCAGGGACTTGAGGTTTTCCAATAACACAACACTTCAGTTTTCCACCTTTGGCAGAAGTGTCTCTGTTAATGTGTGAACTGCTCTGCCAGTGAGACAAGGTAGCTCTTAATGTGTTATATTCAAATTACTGTAGTTGGTCTTTGTTGGACAGTGATCACACCTTATATATACTAATAATCTAGTTATACCAGTGTATGCCTTTTATATTAGCAATGTCATAAATTAAATTTTGCATTTACATATTACTCTAGAACTTAAAATAACTCAAGTGTATAAACCTTCTAACGTGATCCTAGAAAAGTTTGTCTTCAGATTTTTCTGCTTTTGTATTGTTCTAATGGTAAACTGGGATTATTTATGCATAAAACCTGACCCCAAACTGCTCAACTCTAGTGATGTTACTGAAAATATCTATTCGAGCCATTTCCCAAGATGGAACTGAAATGTCTCAGCTGCTTCGACTTCTCACCAGCGAGTAAATGTTCTTCTCACACCCTTTAGTATCTTCTTTAAATTCACCTTATTAAATGTGATTTTAATTTTTAGTAATTTTATCGTCTTGCAAACTTTATTTAAAACATTCTTCACACTTCATTAAAGTAAATAATACACCTTGTGAACATCTTGTTCTCTAATAAGACAGACTTTGATTCTGGCTAGGTGTTGCAGAGTTTGTATTTTTCAGCCCTCAGCTGCTCCACAGCCACTGAGGAAATATGCAAAACCAGTGCCAGTGCCAGTCATCTAAACAATCAAAAAGCATAAAAAAATAAGTAAATGAAAATATAATTTCCTTGAGCTGCTTCAAAGGCTATAACTCATATTGATTTATTTTGGATCGAGACTCTCGATCTAAAAAGGGGATATTTTACACCCCCAAGGGGATCGGTTGATTGTGGATGAGTTTTGTACATTTGATATAAAATAATGTGCCCTGTTTGAGCATGAGTGCATCAGACACGTTAAACTTTAAAATTCTTGACTCATTTTTGTGCTGGTGGATAAACTGGCAGATGAAATTTAGGTCAGCTACACTTAAAGCATTTAGTGCAAATGTGAATACCATATTTTTCGGACTATAAGGCACACTTTAAATCCTTTAGTTTTCTTAAAAATTGACAGTGCGCCTTATGTATTAATTCTGGTTGTGCTCACTGACCTCGAACCAGTTTCATGTGGTTATTGTGAATGAGTTGAATAAAGTTTGACTTATCTGAGATTTGCTAGGTGGGGCGCTCGGTTCTGTCGACAGGGCCCCCCTTTATTAATGGTTGGGGAAACCGTCGTAGATGTTGCAGAGCAACAGTAGGCAAATTTGAATCCATTCAACTTTTGTTTTTCAGTCACACAAAAAAATTGCCATTAAAGTTGTCGCTTTAAAACTATTGAAAACCTGCATTTAAAAAAGGCTTTTTTCCCCCTTGTTTTTGAAAAAAGTAATTATGTTTATAACCAGTTTATCAAAAAGTGATGTGTTAAGACTAGTAGGCCTTAGTGATTGCATCAAAAATGTTGACGCACGGCAACAATCAGATGCTGTTGAGCCTAATGAGGGTGAAAATAGAAAAAGATACAAGTCTGTTTTGCAGTGAGAGTTGGTGAAAGCAGAGGACAATGTCCCTACAAATGAAGGTTAGGTGCTCAAATCAAGACCATTGTTGTGGCCTAATAAGGCTGACCCACTTACGTCCTGGAAAATGTAATGTTAGATAAGAGTCCTCCTTGTTTTGTGGCTGAGTTGTGGTTTATTTAACATAACTGCCTGATCTGATAGAAGCCTTATAGAAGCTCTTCACCCCCCAGTGGTATTAGTCCTGATATAAATTTACATATGGGCATCTGGCTTTTTAAAACGCATGTTCCAGCCATGCTAAATCCTAACGTAAGCGCACTACATGCAACCAAATTCGGCCAATTATCTGCTTGATTGGCTTCACTGGTAATAAGCAGATTCGGCATTGAGATTTTTTGTTGTTTGCTTTTTTTTTGCTTTTCAGTCTTTAAACACGCCTTAGAAGAGCTTTTTATTATCACCAGAAATGACATTCGAGGAAAGGGCGTTTCTGCTACTCGATTTACCATTAAGTGACATACGTACTGTAATATAAGCTATGGTTTTTGTTGGATAAAATATCCTTTCATTATCTGCTTACTCATCATATAAGCCACTCTGAGGCCATGAGAAGATTTTTCAACTCAGTTTACTTGCAAGGGTAGACAGTGTAGGGTTTCTGGGGTCTTGTTTTACATGTTGTGTTTTCCCTCATGTTTGCCTGTCACCCCTCAGCATTTCTCCTCCTGTGTTCCAGCACTGTCGCACCTGTGTTGAACCCTAATCACCGCAGGTGTCACTCATTTCACCTTGTTAGTGTCTGTATATATTCAGCCCCTTGGTGTCTTGTCAGTGTCTCTGGATTGTCCTTGTCCTAAGGCTTCATGACCTGTCTCTCCTCGTGTCCTCCTTTTAAGTAAGTTAGCTGCCCCGTCAGCATTTTGTTTTGTTCATTTAATTAATAAACTATTTTACTTATTTACTGGAGCCTCATTCGTCTTCCTGCACTTTGGGTTCTACACACGGAAGCCGATCATGGTAGACAGTCATAAGGAAGCGTAACAGATGTACAACAGTTACATGCTTTTAGCAGCGTCAGTGAGAATCTGCGCCAGACGGAGAGGCAGGGAAAGCTTTTCTACTGTACACGCTTATCAGACAGAGCCGAGGTCAAGACGACCTCATCTTTCCAGCTTACAGAGAGGAGAAGGCCTTGGAGTTATCAGGTTCCTCTGTGCGCCTGCAGGCTCCTCTCTGAGCAGTCAAAACAACTCTAACTCACACATTCATCTAACATTAGTTGGTGATAAACATCCATAACTTTAATCTAAATTCGCTTGACATTTCCCCCCTGTTTATGGGTGTTTATCACCTTCTCTATAACTCACTTGCGTCAGGATGCCTTATGCGTGTGGCAGAAAACCCTCCTAGGCAAAAACATTCCAGTCAGGTGGGAAAGCACCTCATCATCTCAACGCCCCTTTGACGATGGCCTTAACGGCACATTTCAGCATCCCTCCTGGGTGGGGTCAGTTCAAAAGAAATCATAAAACAAGCAGCAGAAATTTGTATGTGTCCTTCCCCAGATTTGTCCCTCAACACAATCCTGTCTCAGAGGTCTACAGACAATTCCTTTGCCTTCATGCTTGGTGTTCGCGCTCTGACATGCACTGTCAACCAGTGACTTGTGGTGAGGTTTGTGACAGGTGAGGCACTGACTCGTCTGGAATCGGATGCTCACATATATGAACTCAAAATAGAAGTTTATATTTCAATTTAGCCTTTTTTATTTTCTCTTTTAAAAAGGCATCAAATTATGCTTTAATCGAATCCATACTCCTCTCTTAAAAAGAAGTATTACCTTGCCTTTATTTTAAGATGAATGAGTCTGGAAAAATGATGATGACTTTAGAAATGTCTTTGATTGTGAAATGTGATCTTTCATTTTGTCTAAACAAACTTAAACGCGTGTACACCCCTGCCCCTCTGTGTAACAGAAGAACGCACAGCGACGTTTCATTGTCCCTATGGGACAGCACTGCCCCCTATCGGTGCAGCACGGTACTTTCTGCCTCACCCTGTGTGTTTTCACCCTGCATTTATGACCGATTAGAAAGAAGAAATATGTCTCACACATTCATTCAATATATTAGACAGACTGTAGAACATCAGCATGTGTAGCACATGTGTAATCAAACATGTATATTGGCGATATAAAGAGAGACCAACTGCATCCCCTGACAGCTTCTATAGACAGGTGTGTCTTTCCAAATCAAGTCCAATCAACTGAATTTACCTGAGCTGGACTCCATTTATGTTGTAGAAACATCTCAAGGATGATCAGTGGAAACAGAATGCATCCAAGCGCAATTTTGAGCTTCATGGCAAAGGCTGTGAATGCTTACTGAACGTAAATGTGATTTCTTAGTTTTCTAAGTTTAATAACTTTACAAAATCTAAAATTAAAAAAAATCTTTTTTCACATTGTCATTATTGGGTATTGTGTGTAAAATTTTGAGGAAAGAGGTTAATATTTGAATATAATTTGCAATGAGGATGTAACAACAAAATGTGGAAAAAATGAAATGATGTGAACTCTTTCTGCATGCACTGT